TTCTCCGCGCATTAATTTTCAATTCGATCGAACACGAAATATAATTTTTCGTATAACGATACACGGTATTTGATTCTTATTATTTCTTATTAATATACATTTTATGTTAAAATCGCAGTCTGATAGTTACACCCTAGTTAGTCTGTAGAATTCACATCATGTATCGACGGGTTCGCTCTTCCAATAATGGCTTATTGGAAACACAGCAAGTGCATCGAACATCTGAAACTGACATCCTGCATGCAAATACGAAAGTGGGTTAAATCAGTTTAAATCATGAACAAACGAAAAAAAAAAAAAAAAGAAATAAATAAACAAATGAATCTTAATATCTTTACATTTCGATCCTTCGTAAATTTCGAAAAAATTCTCTGTTTATTGAATTAATATTTGAATTTGAATGTAAACATTTCCAGATTCGTACGTTTCGAAAGTTTTGAAATTTAAATAAACCGAAAGATTGAGGTTTAAAAAAAAAAAAAAAAAAAAAAAAAATTGAAAAATTACAAAGCTTCGAATCTTTTCCCCACTCGTTTCAAATATAAATATATAACACGTAAATCCTTGTTTCCAATGCATTTTCTCCGTGTATTTGAGGATGTAAATGAGGGCAGAGGAAGGTGGATGAGCACTTTATGCAATTTCTTGAATTTTGCATACGTTTCTTAAGGGAAAACAGTTACGCGACCGTTTCAGCCTGTTGCACAGCTGAACTCTCCCTCTCCTGGGTTTCGAGATACGATCAATTGTAGTTGAGAAGTTGTTGGATGTTATTTAAATTACAAATTTTTAAGTACTGGATGCCATTAACGCCTGCTTTACAATGAAAATAAATTTGCATATTGAACTAAATATCCATCATTCAAGCGTCAAAATTATTCTCTTGTGGATTTTACAATTATCAAGGATAAAAAGATTTTCCAAATTTTTAATCCTCACAAATCATTCGATTTTTATATTTGGCCTCTATCGGATAACATTTTACCTTAAATTTCAATTTAATAATCAATTTTATTTTCATTCAATTTTGGATACAATTTTGATTTTTAAAATGAAAAGATATTACACGTTGTTTAATATTAGATATCACAGCATTTGAAGAAAATTAAAACCAAACTATTGCATACAAGTTTAATCATAGTAAATAAAAGTTCAAGATAAGAAATGGATCCAATATAATTATTTCTTTCCTTTCATAAATATTAATTTTTCCTTTCACCCTCCACTATTCTCACCTCTCCTTTATTCCATATAAATAATTGTTACTCGAAACATGACGATTCGATATCAATCAGAAATCAAAGATGGACGGCAAATTGACCTTTTCAAGTTTGAAAGAGTTTCGAGATCCCAAATATTCCGTCCCCCAGTCCCGTTCTCTTAAATTAAACTACCGAAGCTACCGGGCTGGTTAACGAGCTCATCTCGCGGCCCCACTTAAAGCCCGAACCACCACGGTTTCGAGGCAACCGTCTCGTGCACACCAGAAGAAGACGGACGATCCTCGTTCGAACAATGTTTTCCAAACGGATCATCCTCCGTTGAATCGCGCGATTGGAATGGAATTAATGGATCCTCCGTGAAGTCGTCGACATCGACGTGCAATCTGGTTAAAAATGGCGGGCTCGAAGTGGAAATAACGAAATCGGTCGAGAAGCTGATGGATGAACGAAGCTAATGCGTTTTACGAATCGAATTGCGTCCTTTTGTTGGATTTGCCTCGATCGAAGGGGAGAAGGAACAAAAGAAGGAGAAATCTTAGGAGACATTTATCGCATTCT